GAGAGAGAGGGAGAGAGAGGGAGAGAGAGGGAGAGAGAGGGAGAGAGGGAGAGAGAGGGAGAGAGGAGAGAGAGGGAGAGAGGCGGGGGCAGCAGGATGGTCAAGAAGGTATGTAGTAGGATGGAGGTGCGTGGTCAAATGTGCAACCAACCCGAACAGTCATTTTGCTTCCAAAGACCAATGTCGACAACAGTGAAGACAGCGTGGACGTGGGGAAGGAACTTCACATGGTAGTTCCGTGCTGGCAACCTGTGCGTTTCGCCAGGCCTAGGCGCCAGCTCCAAACAAGTCAAATTCTAGACACAGGTTGTGAGCGCGTGGCCATTGTGATTGAGACAGGTTGGACTCTTCACGGGCTCTCTTTTGCTTGAAGTTGTGCATCAATGGACGAGTGATGGCTCAGGATGTCCTTCATTTTCTTCCTTCTTTGTGCAGTGTCCGAGCGTGTAAAAAGCTTGGAACTGAAGTACATCAAGGAGGTTGAGGATCACTCCTTGCTTGGCTGACCTTTGGCGATTGCCAGCCGGGGTTGGAGGGGATCCAAGAGTCCTTGATCCTTCGCAGGACATCCTGGCACACAGCGTTGCTGAGCCTTCTGAGGCAAGTGCGGAAAAGAAGAAGAGTATCTGATCGAAAACCCTTTTCCCTCCATTTATAGCCGGAACTATGCCTTGAGGGATGCCGTGTTTGCTCAGTTTGGGCTTTGGCCCTTTGGCCCGCACCGTGAATATACGAAGATGAGGAAAACCAGATTTGTTTTTTCAGTGCGCAGGCCGTGGAGTCCTTACTCACGATGCGCTTGGGTTCGGTGGGTGAACGTTCAGCACTGGTGCCAGATCTTAGCTGCATAAAGGCATAAAGTCTAACAACAAACAATCGGGGGAAAGAGGATTTGTGGTGTTGCGTGTTGGACTCACATATCAGGGAGCATAAGGATCCACTTGATCTTCGCCTAGGTGCGCCAGCTGCTGGAGCAGCGGGCGCATGGCAGCTTGAAGGACTGCAGTTTGCAAGCAGCAAACACATCTCTTCCCGCTTAGCCTCAATACCAGTGACAGCCTGTTTTGTTGCCATTTCCCCGCTGTTGCCATAAGGTCAGCACTCAGTAGTTCGAGATGGGTCGGCAGGTTTTCGGCCGGTAGGCGTTAGCTTCCGACGCCATGGACGAAAGCAGCTCGCCCTACGTCCCATATAGGCCTTACTCTTCTGAGCAGCTCAGCCGATTTGATGGAGATCTCTGACACTGGCAGAATGTAAGAAAAGCATATCCGTTGCCTTTGTGCCAACATGCCCAGCCATGCCTAGCCTTGTCTCGAAAGTTGGCCCACCAAGGAACCCTTCCGCGCAGGTCCCCAAGCGGCCAAAGACGTTCAAGCCACAGCGACCTGCACAAACCAGGGCAGCATCTTGGCAGATGGCCCTTTTTCGTGCGGAGCACCCGGCTGGGCAAACTTACGTACTGAAAGCAACATGTGTATATATATATATATATGTATACATATATATGCAATTGTATGTACATATTATATGACAGTTGGACATGTGTGCACTTCATCCATGGTTTAGCCAAATACGCGCACGCATACGATAGATAGATAGATAGATAGATAGATAGATAGATAGATAGATAGATAGATATACTACTGACTAGTAACTTAGGACTTGTCGGACATACACGCCAATTCCAAAAGCCTATGTCATCAGGATTGATCCAACATTTGCATTTCCTCTTAAGGCCTATGTCATCAGGCCACAACCATGATATTCATAGAAATATATATGAGGTATTCAAGGAAGCAACACATAGTCGCACCCTATGTCACCACTGTGTCACCAGGGTGCCAGGCAGTGGTATCTAGCATTATTTAGCTGTTTTTTTACATTTTTTGTCGAGGAGGTGTCCACAGGTCCTATGACACCAGGTTTCCCAACCCAGACATTTTTTTGCTCGATATGTCAGGGCACATGACTTAGCCCTGGGGGTAGCCAGATTGGTATGTCACTTGCATCACGTTGGCCTAAGTCATTAGACAGTAGTATAGATAGATAGAGAGATAGAGAGATAGAGAGATAGAGAGATAGATAGATAGATAGATAGATAGATAGATAGATAGATAGATAGA